TAATTTGGTGCCTTTTTAAATAAAATTTTTATTTTATTTATGGATCAAGCAATATAAACATTATCATCAAAAGAGTCTCCATTCTTTTTTATAACTTTGGTCCAATTTTTGACAAACTGCCACATTTCATCGCGAAAAATATGTTTGCGATTTCGATTCCGCGAAATTATTTATGCATTTTTTTAAAAACCAGAATAAGTAAAAATCAGCTGGAGTCAAGTCTGGAGAATATACAATGTGTGGCAGAATTTCCTAACCAAGATTAAAAATTGCATGCTGCAATTCAATTTTTTACATGTTTTGTGAATCACAGCATATTCTCCAAGAGCCGAAAATATCACTTTAGCAGCTTCAGCAATACTTTTCTTTGGCACAAATGCAAACAGACTGCGGTGCTTAATATGCGTCTTGTCAGCAGTCATCGTGAATACTAATATTTGAGGTTATGTTCGTCATTAAATAAAGTCATGTGAAATTAGGTAAACACAGATGGCCTTCCTTTAAAACTGCCATAAGACGTGGAAATATTTGAATTTAAAATACTTAATAGAGGCGGGTAAATATAAAAGGCATAGAATTCATTTGCACACCTAATAAAAACATCTTTTAATAAGAAGTTTTACACTCAGTACACTCATTCAAAAAAAGTCGCCGTACATCTCGTTAGAATTTATTTAGTGTTGTATAATTTCAACAGAGAAAGTAGTAAATCAATAGTTTTTACGTTATTTTATTTACTACAAAGAAGAATGATTTACACTCATTTGTTGACAATTAAACTAAGGAGAAAGAATAATGTAACAGAAATGAGATGACAAAAATTTCAGTACACTGTCTAAGAATTCAGTAAAATGTCTACAAACAAGGCTCCAAAGGCAAACACAAGCTAAGTACGTTCTTGTTTATAAGCAAGTAGGAAAGACGTTACTTAAAATATTCTTCCCATAATGGAAAATATTTGTTTATATTTATATTTGCTTGTTTAATTATTCACAAACGAATGTAAATTATTTATCCTCGTACTAATAGTGAACGTTATGTTTCTAAATAAAATAACGTAATTATTATTTCTGTTAAAATTATACAACGCTAAGTAACTTCTAATGAAGTGTACTCTGGAGACTTTGTTGATGGAGTGTGTATTATCTCAATTCTAAATGACAAATGATACGTTAATAAACTTTTGAATAAGGTCAGCTGAGTGTATCACTTGATAGTAGTATATACGTATTCCTCAAATAAATCATTCAGAAAATTGATAACACAGGATTAGGATATCTAATATTTCCAAAGCAGATAACACATTTACGTTCTCTAATTGCAGCGATAAAGAAATTCCTCGTTGAGCGAAAGTAGAATTAACCGATTTGTAAATAAGATCTCATCTGAAGTATTCATATATAAATAAATATTCCAAACGTATAGTCAATGGAAGAAATATACTGCGCTCGTATATTAAAGCATCAAGTAGGCGGCACAGCTTGATCTGGCCACAGCCAGGGCCGCTTATAGCACTCGGTTTTAGGGTCCGTTTAGCAAAGGGATGACAACTGATAATTAAATACTTATTTCATGTACTACCGGAGAAATAAAAAATGCCAATCTACAATTAATGTAGATCAATTGACTAGCGAAATTTTAAAAACGTGAATCTGATACAAACTGAAGTAAACAACATGAATGGTAATCATTGAAAGAAAACAGTGTAGATAAAGTAATCAAAATTGAAGCAGAATACAGGTGAAAACGAGAGCCATTAGAAGAATTTAAAGGAAAATAGAGCTCGGTGCAGGCGCGGTGAATACATTGTACAGCCCTGACTAAGGGTTCGCTTCCTTATCTTCTTATATTTCTCTCGATTACCTTGTTAGAACACTGGAAACGTGTTCACATTGACTCCTGGCCGATTTACAAGCTCGCTACATTTCTTCCACCGACTATACACATTTTGAAGGGAGAACTATGGTGTAGTGCAATATAGTTTTTCTTAGAGTTATCGAGAGACGAATTTATACAGGGTGTTCGTGTTATTAAGTACTAGCCAGCGTTGTTCTTGTAAATGGTAGGTACAAATAAGCAAGGAAAAAGTTTTACAGTGTTTTATAACCAACACAACAGCATATATCAACATTTGCAATATTTTTCAGAAAACCAAGGTGACCTTTACTTTTTCATACACCAACTCGCTATATTTCTTCCACCGACTATACAACTATTCCGATCTCAATCTTGCCGATACCAATTCCTCCATTGAACTTGATCGTTCGAACCCAAAATACTTACTCAACGAACATAAATCTGTCGACGAAAGAAACTCACATCCGCTATATCCATATATAGTACCTGACACCGTCAACCGAGAAGAAACACACGATAAAGCTGTACCATTGTCTTCAACAGTAGGCGACCGCTCAGCAATTAAGTTCAAGGGCAAATTCTATCATCAAGAATTTACTCTAACTTCTCAGAAAACATGTACACAGAGAGCCGCCAGTGTACACACGGACCCTCCAACGGCTGAGTTACGAAGGGGATGAAAAGTAGGGCGAGCATCGTAAAAGAATTCCTGGCCAAGTTGCATTTCACCTGCTATGTGCAAAGAGCATTAACGCTGACTTCTGTAATTTCGCGTATTTATTGGAACTTGTGTGTAGGGGGCGGTCGCTCGATCGAGCCGGATCAACGACGTTGAGAGTAGCGATGTACGTACGTCGTGTGTGTGTATGTGTGCGTGCGTGTTGGGGGGTGGGAGCAGTGGGAGGGAAGAGGGGGCGGGTGTAAAACACTTCGACGTTTTTCCATCGCTTCGCAACAGAAAACGTATTTCCATTTCTTCTCGTCGATGTGCTCTCCTCGATAAATTGGATTTTTAATTAACATTCTCCTCGCGGTCCCTGAGGTATAGTTACAGGAAAGAGAGAGGTGGTGGAGGGCGAGGGGTGGGGACGATGGGAGAGTGTAGAAAAAACAGCTAGAAGTCAACGAGTTTACGCAGTTTTAGTCGGTGTACGTGTGTGTACAGTGTAACAGGAACCTTGAAACAGTAGAACTCGTCACAGGATTTTACCACACAATCGAAGCACTTGAAATATTCGATTCGAACGAGAGTGAAGTTGTAACTATGTAATCCATTTTATCTACAAATGTATGTAACTGTACGTATGTAGTAATGTGTGTGTGTATGTATGTCGGGTATCGTGGGTAACGTGCATATAATTCGGGAAATGATATTTGATACATAATACACAAAGTGTTGCAGGGCATCGTGCAGTTTCACCGGTATTTTATTACCGGGCTCGTTTTTATACGTTGGTATTTTTATTAAATTTCCATCGAGGCAGAACAGCATGATTTCGAGCGTTTAAATAAAATGTTGCGCAGTATTCGAGTGCGCGGAAAAAACATCGCGCGTGCATATGTACATATGTATCTCGTAACGTGTAGGTAAAACGCTGTATGTTGATCGAAATTGAAAATTTTGTTCTATTCTTTCTGTTTTGTCGACTGACTAAACATTTATCGATAACTCATGAAGGCGAAAAATGAAAACCTTTCATCTGTTTATCAAGATTTTATTTTTACCATAGAAAGTATGTTAATAAAATTTAAAAATCTAAATTAGTTTTTATGGAAAAGTACATAGGTGTAGTTTTCAGATAAATTTAATATCGCCTAACCTCCGTTTGAATACAAAAAATAAAATATTTAAAAGAACGCAATAACAATAATGCTTCATTTAATCGTCTGTGGTAAACATTTTCTGATAACAGGATATAAAAACAATCTTAAAAATATTAATCTTTCAATAACTCTGTTTACAATAAACGACTTCCTTTAATTTTTTGTTTACATTTTTTTAGGGGAAATTTATTAAAGGAATGTAAAAACCTTTCATTTAATTGTAACCATCCCTTTTACAGCCTTGCTTTCCATATCTTACAGAAACGTTACTTACAAAAAAATTATAAAAACAGAAACTTATGAAAATTAAAAGGAAATAAAAAGTAAAAGAACTTTTTTAAATTTGTTACTTGTCGTTTATTCCTTGCCAAAAGTGTTTTGTTATATAAACTTTATTTTGTCGATAATAGAATATTGCTGTTGAAATTATTTCACTAATCAGAAATATATATAAAATTTGTGATTATGACACTACTTGTATTCTGATTATATCATTACATTGAAATCTTTATCAATACTATTCCAGTTAGTACATGTAAAAATGAATTGGTGCAACTGATAAAACGATAACAGTTCTTATGACCTTAACTTTCATTCATACAATGACTTTTGTACAAATATTCGATGCAGAGTACCTGTATATACTCCTTTTATCATTTTATACAGTTACAACCTGATGTTTCTTTACTCCATAACTGCCTAACATATGCTACTTAGAGTCAAAACTTTAAACCAAGCACGTTAAAGTGAGAACATTGAATATTCATATGAATACTCAATCATCAGTTACAAGCCAACAACTTCAATGAAACACAGCAATAGCGTTTGATATCGTACAAGAGCACGACATCATAGTTAAAGATACAAATGACAGTCCTTGTGTCTGCATGAAAAGGATTGCTCATATTGCTGAACATAATCTGCAGAAAGTTGAAATAAAACTTGCACGAACAGCACGTAGATCAGTTTTCTTCCTTGACACGCACCTTTCTCTGCTTTTGTATTATTACCCATTCGTCCCTTTTGAGACAACAAATATACGTCATCGTTCGTACACGCGGTGCATGCTTACGCGCGCGCAACCATATCCACATTCAATACGTGTACGCATAACCCTAGTCATACACACAAACGCACGCGCGCGCGCGCATACCGTCTGTCAAAGCATATCCTCTCCCCATCGAACAGTGTCTCATATCTCTTTCACCCCTCCCTTTATACTGCTTCGCATTTTAACACTTGCCCCCTCCCTTCCTCTCCCTATGACTCAACTAATGCAACGCAGCTGTCTCGTTCTTTCTCACGGATTCGTTACTCACTTGCCGATAATCTCGCAGAGCTCGTAAACCTCATCGAAGAGAACCTCGTCGTCCGCCATAGTGGCAACGAGGGGGTCGAAGAAGTCGACTGAACGAGGATGCTATACGCACCACAAGGCGCGTCGAAGTTATGCGAATTCGTAATAATTCGTAAAGCGTGCTGATACACGTCTCTCTCCTCCCGAAGTCTGAGCCCGACAGTGTGTTGTGTTCCGTGTCGTGCCGTGTGTAATACGCGGCGACGTGAACGTAGCCGCGTATCGTGGATTCACGGCCGCTTTCGTTCTCCCACTCTCTTCTCGCTCTATCTCTTTCTTTCTTCCGACCGCGACGAATTCGGTTTCCTCTACGCGCACGTTACGCACATATACACATCTATATATACACAACCGTGGATAATACACCCGTGTAGCACGCCCGATTGTCGTCGCACTGGCACTCGATCAGTACACGCGACTCCGTAACCGTATAGATGAGTTATGTTAGTAAACCGTACGTAAATTTTTGCACGATGGCAAGAATGCCGAATACTCAGTCGACACCGCCTTTAAGCCTTGCCTTACTGTCGCCGGCAAAGACAGCGTACACAACTGACGACAGTTCGTACTACAGACGTTTACACGGTCGTGTCCTATCTCGAGCACGAAGAAAACCGTATCTGGCCGAATCCAGTTGTGTCGACGGAACAGTCGGTCGTATTATTAACAAGGACCGATCAGCGAGAAGCGGCCAGACGGACACCGATGTCACTACACACACTTTCCTCGTCTGTCAAATGCTGGAGGAGTAGATTCACTCGCTCCGAAGCAAGACTGGTTGCATAAAACGCGGCGAGCGACTGCGCCGACCAACTGCCTCTCCTCTCGCTCCTCTGGCAAGCCGTACATGTGGGGGGAGGCGGGCGTGGCGCCGCTTCGCGTGCAACCTTTGGCGCTTTAACACGCTGTGTCCTTTACTTCTTCCCCTCGACCACAATGTTCACCAAGCACAAGGAACGGTACTATCGAGCGTAGCTGCAATACTCATCGATGTTCAACTGTTCTCGTACAGCACCAACGTGCACGATTACTCCGATGATAAGTAGTGTAACTTATCACCTGAGCTTGATTTTTTTTTGATAATATGAAATTACTTACCATCCCGTCTATACACAACCACCAGTGGCGGGATAACCACGTGTGGCTCAACAATATACTATGTTGAATATGTACTTTTAAATGCGCAGTATAATTTGAAAACAATCCTATAAAGTGCAATATTGCGGGTGTTACATCGCTTGATATGGAAACATGTAATTGAATCTGTGTTTATTGAATAATGTAATAGCAACGAAAACATAGAAACATATTACATATAGTTATTAACCTAAAATAAGGAAGATATCACAGACGAAGTCCTCGATATTATGCATATGTTGTGTTCAATAGAAAATTTTATTCAACAATATTGCAAATTGATTATTTATTCATGTATACATTTTATTATCGTAAGTATGATAATCCTTCAAAAACTTCCTCTAAATCTTCCCTTTGTCCGAAAACTGCTAACACTGTAATTGCTCGATTACGTCCCCAATTTTGACGAACTATGTGAGTTCCAATTGCCATAAATTTTAGTTCGCCGTGAAGGTATTTTAAATGTTTATGATCATACCCCTTTAAGATTATTATCCTTCGTCTGCTTTTACATAACAGATTGGATTAATTATATGCACACTTTGTCTATTATTTATATATAAAATAAATTAAGAAGTAAGAATAAAGTGGGAATTGTAAATTAACTGTAAATACAATAAAAGTATTAATGTATGTATGTATATGTTACCCATTTGTTGTCCACCTATCAATATATTGGCATTTCACTTGATCATTGTCCAATTTACTATGAAGTGATATCAGGCTAATTACAGCATGCTTGAACGTTAATTTAATAACAAGTTTCAAACAGTCCAAAATTGGATACTTACATTTGCTGCTGCCGTTCCTTGATTCATATGTAGGTCAGTATTAAGTATTGCATAGAATACATATTGCATTAGACCAGTCTCATGTACAGCAGTGGTATGGATTCTTTTACACTTTTTACGCACTTGACTACCGTTTCTGTGATTAAGTTATAGAAAGTGTAATTTAATAATATTTTACTTTTTAAAAATTCTTCGTATTTAAAAATTAATTAACATTCGATTTAAATTTACATACATAAAAATACTTATAATTTAAAAAATGTACTTGAACCTATTAATTATTTTCAATGGATTACATGTATTTTTGTCCGTTCTTTTTTCATAATATTTGTGGTTTTTATTTTTATATTTCATTGAAAAGCAACTTTCTTGAGTATGAATGATCTATGCCCAAACAATATTTCTTTCGATAGTCCAACGTTAACTATTTCCATAATCTACATAAAAAGTATAATGCATAATCATCCTTGGAATTATATTATAATTTTTTGTATTAATAAATAGAAATTATTTATGAATTTAAAGAGATTATTAAAGAGACTATTTTTGAATAGTGTGTTCGCTACAAATATAATTATGAGAAACATACTTTTATTTATTAAGTTTTTAAACAATTATAACAAACATACATATCGAACCTGGATAATGACTGTGTGGTATCAGTTGATCCAAATATAAATGCAGAAAACTGTTTCATCATCAGTTGCACATTGCCTTAATTGTTAGATATTTTAATACATTTAAATTTAATTACGAATAGAATTAATTTATTTTTACATGAATTTACTTATGTTATTTATATATGACGTATCTATGACATATTTACCAAACAGAAGCTGAAGAAAAATAATTTATCGTTATCGACTTAACTGAACTTGCTCTCAGAATTCAGATATCGCAATCTGGCAATCAGAATATGTCGACATTTCGAATAACCCGCAATTTCAGGATAGCAGTGTAGTGTTTGGTATATTTAGGTTAGAATAGCTATTTTCATAATTAAAAATATTGGTGGTAACTCTGAATGTCATGTGATTAATACGACATTTTTCAATGTTGATTGTGATTGTTATTCAAATGCAACTTTGTCAAAGTAAGATAAATTTTTCGTGGAGTAACAGTGTACGTTAAGAAGTGAAGATTGTCAAAATATCTACCAACTGTTTTTCTGACAAATGATTTTTATACGACTTTGATAAGAAAGGACAAATAATTCAGATAGTAATAATACCAGAGAGATATTTCATGTATTGAAAATGGCTGCAAGTGAACCAGGTGTATTATTTTCTAGAGAAGATAATAATTGGAGAAAAAATTTAATTATACAATTGCAAGAAAGGAATAGAAAACAAACATATTGTTTTGCAGATCTCATTAGTTTGCGTAAGATTCTTTCCTTTATAGTTGTTATTATTACTAGTGTTATTAATTTAAGGCATACAACAAGAGCTTATTATTATTATTAGATTTTGATTTAATGCACTATGATATTTATAACATAAACTAAAGTATATATTAAGTCAATGTTTCAATTTTAAATGAGAGGTCATTAATATCACTTCTAATTTATAGATAACAGATTATTTGAAAATGCAAACACATTACGTGGAGAAAATATTCAACTCACCATAGCAAATGAAACTCTTCGTCGAGAGGCAGCAAGTGGAGTTCCTGGAATAAATGTAAATGCTGATCTTGAAGCTCGTCTGCTAAAGCAAGCAGAAGAATTAGCAACACTACATAAAAGGAAAGGGGAACATACACAACAAATAGTGGATCTTAATAATAAGTTACAAGAAATGATAAAGGAACTTAAAGCTAAAGAAATAAGGTAGATATCTTTTTTTATTTTCAAAGAATTGGGAATAGCTTTATATTTGAATTTCTTTGTCATTACATATGTGTGTTACAAGTTTAAATAATTAATTCCATTATGTTTCACAAACTTACAGTCTTGCTGAAAGTATGGAGCTCAATGTTAATTTACGGTCAGACATATCCAGATATCTTAGCAGAGAAAGAGAGTTGGAAAGTGTTAATCAAATGTTGAGAGATGAGCACCAAGCCCTCCAACTTGCTTTTTCATCTTTAGAAGAGAAACTCAGAAAAGCTCAGGTAATTATTATGTAATATTGTATAAGGAAAAATACTTCCTATCAATGTAATAAACATTTTATAATTCATGTCATAGTTGCTTATTTAAATTTATGAAGTTTAATTCATTTTAAACATTTGTAGGAGGAAAATCGTCAATTAGTAGAACGCTTAATTAAGTATAAAACCCGCGATGCAGAGAAAGTGAATGAAGAAAATGACAACTTTTTGAAGTGAGTAATATATTTATTTTGTACATTAGTCTTTTTATTAATGTGAATTGTCCTTTCTCCTTTTATTAATTTGTAATTTAAATGAAGGAATGTATGTTGCTTCATAATAATAATTTTTCGTACATATTTAATAAGAATTTGAAATAGAAAAAAATGGGTGTTTCTTATCTAGTTGTAACATATCTGCAATATATACTTTTGTAAATAATATTTCGCGATTATATTTTCATTTTGGAACTATGTTCATGCAAAGATTATATCTTACACAATAAGATTTTATTCTATTCTTAATATTTTGTTGCTATTTGTTCTTTTTAACCAGTTTTTTATTTCTAACTTGCTTACTGTAAATGTTGTTTTATATTCTCTCTTGACATTGGAACTTATGCATAAACATTTGACTAATTGATCAAATTTCTGTGAACCTGCAATATGTAAGATGTGAAACTTTATTCAAAAACACTTCAAATTGAATGGTAATGTGTTTCATTTGATGAAAAATTTTAATTTTTAGCTGTAAAATATTTTGTTTAGTTCATTATTCCAGATCACTTAATGTATTTATTGTAGTAATACGAAATATTACCGAGCATAATGTTGTTTCAACGAAGTAAATTTTAAAATAGATGCTCTACTTTAAACAGTCAGATCCCTTTCAACTTTGACTAAAATATAGTCTCCTTAATATAATATTGCAATTAGTGAAGTAGTTTACATTGAATTACACATATATCCTGCTTTTAGCTCTACATAATTCTTAAAAAAGTAATTATGTATTATGGAAAGAAAGGAAATTATGTACTACATTTTATTTATTGCATTTGCCTTTTTAAAATAAGACTTTATTTTATTTGTACTATATTTTATTTATTACACTTGTTTTTTAAAGATAAGATATGTAAATTTAAATATATGATGAATAGCATTTTCAGTTTATTTTAGATGTAGGTTAGGTATTTTATAATTCTGTTATACTGATTTAAATATATCCCAAATTTTATTTTTGTATACTTTTATGTAATATTATAATAATTGTAGCATATGATTTGTGTGTACAGCCATCGTTTGCACTTTCTTATCAAATATCCATTGAAAATAGAGGAATGAAAATTTTGTTTGTTTTTTTGTTGGTATTTCAGCACTAAATGTGTTGTAAGCACATATTACAAAATATAATAAATTATAAAAGATAAAGGAACATACTATAAACATTTATCTGAATAAGTATTTACAAGAGAATGAAATCATTTTGAGAGTACATATATATTTTTAAGCCAATAAAATACCTTTAGTTGTGCAATAAAATAAGTGTTTTTTAAACGATTTCAACAAATTGCTTACAATTTAAATTTTATTGTCGTGTTTAAATTTATGTCGTTTTTTTATTAATGTAAGAAAACGCAGTTTGATTATACAATGTTTTTAATTATCAAAGTAGGCTTCGTTACATCCAACAACCTTCTTCCATTGTGTAATGAGGTCATACATTCCTTTCTTATAAAATTGTGAAGTCTTGGGATGAAAATATGCATCTTCGAGAGACCTTTGATTGTCGATGCTTTGGCTGTCTTACGGTGTTCGCCATATCTCAAAAAAGGCGGCAATCTGTTAGTGAAATGTCAGAGAAATATGGCAGAACCTCCTAATTTAACTCAGTGACTGTCTGCCGAATAATTTGGGCGTATGCGGGCGAATGTTATCCATGAACAGTAAAGTTAAACGCTCCTTACTACGTGACTAATCGTTTACTGTACGTTCTATTGTATCTGAAGTGAGTGACAAAATACTCCTGAACATAGGAATAACAGTCGCATGTTTCCATGGTAACGCTGTTAGTGCCTACAAGACCGTTACGCCAAAGCGGGAAAAAAATGACAGAAATTTACGCGGGTGCTAATATATTAAAAATCTGTACAAAATTTTAAATACTGTTATTGTGATGAAGCTATTTGAACGTATGTTATCAACTTTCTAATTGAAATAAGTACCATAATATCTATTTCTATTACATAATATAAGAATAAATTTCTAAAGTGTTTTATGACGTAATTGCTGATC